CCAAAACTGAATCCTTCTACCATTTCCCACTACTGTTTTGACATTATTGAAAAAGAATGCACTCAAAGCAGGATTAGATAGATTCACTAATAAGACATCCTGCCATAGAATAGACATCATGCCTGAAACCATAGGTAACAGACTCCATTAGCTGCCAAACCCTCCATACTTACTACACAACACCTCTTTTCACAAAGCATTCTCCTCCCTACCATACCTCCACCACCACTTTAGAAGTAGGCAATCATTTACCTCTCTCAAATTTCTGACCCCTGTAGATGTGCCCGAACGTCACAGCCCCGTGCGCGAAACGGCGTGAAAATCTAATTTGTTCATTAGCTTACTACAGTTCAAACTCAAATGTCACGGTTCTGAATCTAATCTCACAAAGTGCAATGCAAGACTGATAAATCACCAAAGAGTCCAAATGCGACAAATCGTTTTGGAAAACTGATTTTAATAAAGAAGTGTCAAACATGGACTGCTTTTCCAGATACAGAGTCGCTACCTAAATATTTTATTTTGGGGGAATTTAGGAAACCCTGACTCGTGCCTAAGGCCACGTGTCCGTCATCACCAAAGTTGCCTCGGCTCGGGAACTTGGGTACGAGAAGGGAAGGTCATGCAATGAGCACCCCCACTCGCCCGATCAAAGATCGGCCTTTACTAAGCATGATATATTGTTTTGAAGACATATGTGTTCTTATTCCGGTTATTAGCTAGAACTACTATGTGATGCGCACAGCATACAAGTATAGACTAGATCGCCTAAGTTGGAACAAAAAATCTCATGTTTGTTTGAAAATGGTTTGAAGGTGCTACTCGCAAGTAGGCTAAGTCGTGGATTTTGCCACCCTCAAGTGGGCTTAGGAAAACATGATTTTTCCACTCTCAAGTGGGCTTAAAACTCGTATTTCGATGAATTGTTTCAATTCAAGCAATCCAACCTTCACCCACAGGCATCCAGGCAGTTATATCATTTAATCAAATAGCCTCATGGCAAGCATGCTTACATGGCAGCATGTGCATTCATGCAAGATGCTAAAGCATAAAAGCTTACCTAGTACTCCGAGCCAAAACAATAGCTAGTTAGTAATCAATGCATGATCCTAGCTTATGTTAAGATGGCTAATGCAACGCATGCAAAATGCAACTAGAAATAGGCTCGGCTATTCTAAAATGGCATATGAGATGCAACTTGATAATCATGTATTCAAGTAGGAATTGAAATACAATGCAGTTAGTATGATGTGCCGAGCCCGGTGCATGCAATACAGATGAATGGATGCAAACATGCGAGCATAGGAATGCTAATTGAAATATGACCTAGGACTAACCATCATCAGCGGTTAAGTAAAAGGGAGAAAGAAGTGGGATTGGAAGACATTCACACTCACGCACACTTATTTCAAAATTCGCCCTCTCGACAGAGGGTCCGAATAAATAATACAAACCAACTAATTAATTAACTACCCTAACTAATTAATTATTACAAAACCTTAACGAATTAAGAAAATTAATTAAGTTACAAAACAGTTAAAGCTGCCTCGAGAAGAGGGACATATGCATGCTTGGTCGGCTTCGCTCGGAAATTCATTGCCATGCCTCATGTTGCCTCTATTTGCACTGTTTTGCACCTCTGAAAACTGTACAAATCTTTATGATGCTCTTGAACCACCTCATGGATACTGTGAGAGGCCATCGGCCAAATGGTATGGCCATCAGCCAAAGGAAAAGGGTCATCGACCATTTTTTAGTCCATCGGTCAAAAATTGTTAGCCGATCGGCACTTCAGATAGCCGATCAGCCATCTCTTCCTGCAGACTGCTCCTTTTGCTGCAATAAAGCACAAACAAAGGCATGGCAATACATTTGCAAGAAAAATGTTGTGCAATTACACCCCTTATCATGTTTGAAGCTCAAAGGAGTGTAATGCTCGACTCTCGAGCCATCAATCACGCATTCCGATGCATGATGGCCAAAGAGGCCGAGTTGCACAATTCGATGTGAATGAAATGCACGAAAACACACAAATACCTTAAACTCTATCATGTTGGATCAAGAGTGTCGGCGACCGAGGATTGAGGCACGTTTCATCACTTCAAGTATGAAACGCCTCTCGTTCCTCGTGTTTGGCTTAACACCCCAAACCAAACACAATGCAATGCATGCAACATGGAGATGCTATACAATGCAACAAAAGCATGCCAAATGCAATGCAACAAATATGCAACAATGCAATGTGACCAAGCATGCAAAATGCAATACAACCTAAACATGCAAACATGTAATGTGCCAAGCATGCAAAATGCAATGCAACCTAAACATGCCAACATACAATGTAATAGGCATGCAACAACAATATCAACAACAAGCATGCAACAACATGCAATGTGATAAGCATGCAACAACACACAAACCGCATGATCTATGGACTTATACTGAAAATGGATAGACCTCAGCTATACCAAAAATAGTGGCCAAAATGCTATGGAAATGAAGCATGAAAGCATATACAAACATTCATACACTTTGGTTCACAAACAAGGTATGAAGACAACTACTCTCAAACATGAGCAATGAATGAAAAGCATGGATGTATGACAATACTATAGGCCCTGAAATCATGCATGGAATGGTGCCAAACCACTCACTTAACATAAGGATAACATGCAAGAAAGCTCAAAGTATGAAACTAACAAAGGAACTTAAACCATGGCCATGCAAGGCAAGCCCCAAAGGGCCAAGGGCACCCAAAACAGTCCCAAGGCAGGTCAAGACAAGACCAAAAACAAGCTTGAACCTAGCCAACACAAGCTAGAACAAGAGTCCGAAGGGCATGAGGCATGCAAGGCTAACAAGGGGTATTACACTACACCTATTACAACCAAATATGACATGACTTAACCAATAAAAATCAGAGTTATGGCATGTCAAAATAAGCCCCAAAACCCACTTAGATGGCATCCCAAAGACCTAATCAAAGAGGCATGCACAATGATCCATTCTTGAGGCATAAAAAGCCAAACTTACAAAGCATCCAATGAGTGAAAGATGCAAGTGTATGACCACATTACATGGATTGAAATAACATATGAAATAATGCCAAATCATGAAAATGGTCTAAGCAATGCATGCTAGTGACTTGGACACCCAAAGCTAACAAGCTAGATTGAACCATAGCTATACAAAGCATCGCATGCATGACCAAGACAATGCAAATCAGAGCTAGAGCATGGTAAAACAAGGCTAAAAGCTCATTTGAGCTGAGCCAAAATATGCAAGAATGATGGTCTAAATGCATGATGCATGTTAAGGCAAATGAGAGGATTGCACTACAAGTGCATGGTGCATGCAAGTGGTCATCAAACCAACTTTAGACAGAGGTATAACATGGTGAAATAACACCAAATACTTGCTGAAATGGAGCCAAAACAAGCTAAGCAAACATGCTACTATTATGAGCCATTAATACAAGCATATGAAACACAAGGAGAGGGGGGTGTCCCTCTCCTATTCAAGACTCCAAAACCACCTCTCCACCACTGAAAATCCTCTGGATTTCAGTGGTGAGAAGGTCAAGACAAGATGGTTCCAAAGCTCAAAAAGAAAGGCACAAAACAAGGCCAAACAAGGCCTAAAAGGGGGTAAACTACCCCCAACACAAAAGTAACCTTAAACAATCATCACAAGCATGAAAATTCAGAACTTTTGTAGTTTAGAGTTAAGCTTAAAACAATATGAAAATAGGTCTAAAAGCTTAAGCCAAAATGGGGGATTAAAAGGTAGTTTACTCACCCTTGAAGAACACCTTCAAGAACACAACTCCAGTACCTTTTCTGAGCTTAAACCACTCCAAGAACTCTAAAACCAACTCCTAAGGACCTCATCAACCAAAGCATGGTGTTCTACAAGGTGTTTGTATGCAATAGTATGAAGATTCTACACTTTTGAGCACAAACAAAAGCAAAGGGAGAGAAAGAGGTAAAATATAGAGAGATATAGAACTTGTATCTCAGATTTTCAGACCCTCTGGAAAGGGAGGGGAGGCTCCCTTCTTATAGAATTTCAATTCTCAAGCTTGTTCAACAAGCTTGAGTCTTGAAACAAATCCCTCCATACATATGGAGGATGAGAATTATGCCCACCAGCTGTCACAGCTGGCACAAAATATCTGCAAAAAGAAGATGGAAAGGTCTCGGCTAAAAAATATGGTTGATCGTCCAAAAAGAGTGCCGATTGACCAAAAAGAGTGCTGATCGGCCAACACTTATGGCTGATGGCAAGAAAGCATGGCCGATGGCACAATGCCTTAGCCGATGGGTTGAGGGGATGGCCAACAAGCCACCCTCTTCCCTCAGAAGCAAAAACACAAGTCCTTGGTTCACAACCAAGCACAAAACAAACAAGTTGAGAGATCCTAAGGCAAGGCGCGCAGCCGAAACCTTCGGGAACTCAAAACGAACACGAACATGGATGATCATCGAGTATTCAAACGATGATGTCCAAGTCTTGAGGACGGTCAAAAATGGGGTGTCTACAACCCTTAGCCCTCTTTGTAACTTGCTGAAGCATACCTCCTTCCAACTAACTAGATGTACTTTTCTCCTCTATTCAGATCCTCCCTAGAGGAAATTAGACCGAATTTTTTCAAGTGATTTTATAATACCCACTGGCATTTTAAACAGAGATAAAAAAATATACTAGAAAACTAGACAGCACTGATCCTATCAAGGTTACTCTACCTGAAAAAGACAAGCACCTCCTCTTCCATAGAGCTAACTTCTTCTTAAAATTATCCACCACTGGCTGCCAGGTGCTCTTTCTCCTTGGATTTGCTCATAAAGGCAGACCTAGATACTTCAAAGACAGCTTTTGGCTATGGTAATGGAGCCTATTTGAAATTCTTTCAGTAGATCATCCTATACACCTATTCCACAAACCTGAGTTTTGTGGAAATTAATTTTAAGTCCAGACAATATCTCAAAACATCTAAGAATTCACTTAATAGCAATAATTTCCTCCCAATCTGCTTCACAAAATATGATGGTATCATCTGCAAACTGAAGGTGAGATAATCTCAGATCATTTGGACCAATTGAATCTCCTCTTATCAAACTCACTTCTTTAGCTCTTGACGTCAATAAGTTAAGGCCCTCTGCAAAAATGTTAAAAAGGAAGGGTGAAAGTGGGTCACCTTGCCTGAGGCCTTTCATTGGAGAAAATTTTGTTGTGGGTGAGCCATTAACTGGCACTGAGACTCTAGCTGTAGAGATACATGTTTTCACCCACCTCACCCATTTCTCTCCAAAACCAAAGTTGGTCAACATTGAATACAAGAACTCCCAATTTACTGAATCATATGCCTTCTCAAAATCTAGTTTAAGGATGATGCCTTGTTTCTTTGATCTCTTCCACCAATCTACCACTTCATTAGCAATTAGCACCCAATCTAGGATACACCTTCCACTCAAAAAGGTCATTTACACTTCACCAATAATCTTTGGAAGTACCTTTCTCAAACTTCTAGATAAGACCTTGGCAACAATTTTGCATACTGAACTTACCAAACTAATAGGCCTATAATCACTCAAACCCAAAGAATTATCTTTTTTGGGAATTAGAGTAATGAATGAACTGCTCACGCCTCGAGCCAACTTACCATTAGAATGGAAATTAGACATAAGTTGCACTACCTCCCTTTTCATTATATTCCAGCATTTCTGGATGCAAGATAAATTAAACCCATCAGACCCTGGGGCTTTGTTACCATCACAATCATTGACTGCTTCCCAAATTTCCTCATCTGAAAACTCTGCCTCTAGCAAATTTGATTCTTCATGACCAATTGAGACAAATGCACCTGACAGTTTTGGCCTAATCTTCCAATCCTCAGACAATAATTGGCTAAAATATCTCACCACTGCTTGTTTCATAACATCTGGCTGATCATAAATGACACCATTCTCTTTGACAGAATCTAGCAAATTTTTTCTCTGCCTGCTACTAGCCAAGATATGAAAGAACCTTGTATTTTTGTCCTTATTGGCTATCCATGTCAATCTGGATTTTTGATTCCATAACCACTCCTTTTTGTTCAGTTCCCAGACTAGCCTTCTAACCTCCTTTATCTTTTTAACCTCATGTTCCAGCAAGTTCTTACCTTTAGCCTTAATAGCCCAGTCATGGTGTTCAGCCTCAGCTTGTTTCAATTGCTCATCAATGTTTCCAAACACTTCACAATTCCACATTTTGAGATGTGATCTAAGATTCCCCAGCTTTTTCATTAACCTATAACTAGCCTAACCACTGATCTGATTATTATCCCAAGATTTCCTCACTTCAGATTTAAAATTAGGATGCAAGCCCCAAGCATTTATGAATCTAAATGGCCTTGGACCCCAATCCCTCTCATCTTCCATTAACAATATAGGGCAGTGGTCAGAAATACTTCTAGGTAGCCCCCACTGCTTAAATGAGAATTTTTCCAACCACCTATGGTCAATTAGGAATCTATTAATCCCACTTCACCTATCCCCATCCAAAGCATTGCACCAAGTAAAGGTTCTGCCTATCATTGGGATATCAATCAGCTCCAAATTATCAATCAAATCATTGAAATCCTTCATTCATCTATCCCTCCTCAAACACCCTTTCATTTCACTCATAACTCTAACTTCATTGAAATCACCTCCTACACACCAAGGCCTTACAAAAGTAGATTTAAGTTTCACTAGAGATACCCATAGCTACCTTCTTTTTAGTATTTCATTTGGAGCATAAATGTTTACTACAACACAATCAAAAGAGTGGTTTGAAGTACCTGACAACATAATGAAATTTCTATCACTGCAACACTCCTGTAGTACAAAGATATATGGATTCCTAAGCATAGCATACCTTCTGCACTACCCTCTGTACCAACCTCCATGAAGTCCATCTCCTTCCAAGGCCATAATGACTTAACAAAATTTGCATCAACACTGCACCTCTTTGTTTCTTGTAACAATCGGACATCAATCTTTCTATCCCTAACCCAGTTATTTATTTGCCTCCTCTTTTCAGGCCTTCTTAGACCTCTAACATTCCAAGATAATATCTTCATAAGGAAACTAGTAACATATACCAAACCTCGTAGTAACAACCAATTGGCTTAGGAGGCTGCACCTATGCCTTCCATTCTTTCAAGATCCTTTTCTTCTAGCTCAACTATTTTGTTTACCACCTCCTCCTCCTTGCCTTCACAACTCAGCCCTAAAATTTTCCCAACTTGAATTGTGGCTTGTGCTTCAGTCAACATCTTTCTCCTTCTCCTTGAATTTGAACTCTAAGAGACTGATAATGAGATTGTAGTAGCTGCTGCTCGGAATATAGCTCCTTTTTACAGACTATTGCTGAACAGCACACCCTTGTTCTTCAGTTTCTTTTGGTGTATCTTTCCCCTATTCTTCATATCAGCACCTTTTCTCTTACTACGATTGATGGCTTTTTCACTGGTCTTTCCCCTTGTTGCTATAATGCCCCTATTGTTCACTCCCTGCTGGGTTGATATAATAACCAGTGGACTTAACTAAGTTTGTTCTTCACAATCATTGAGGTTCGAAGCCTCAATGATAGGCCCATCTGCCAAGTCCCCAAGCTGTGCCTCATTTAAAACTACCTCTAAATTGATATTGGGCCTTAAATTTTCTAGCCCGCGAATGCTCCTAATGAATCCAGTTGAACGTATCTGACTTGTAACTATTTGAATTTCATTTGCCACCTCTTTTCTTGAGCCACTCACCTGTTGCAGACCTACCTCCATACAGTCACCTCCATCATTTGGATTTTCCACATCACACCTAGTCTCTTTTACGGCTGATACAGACTCTCATTTATTGCTTCCTCCCTTCTCCTCTGCATTTGTGTCTACCATGCCCTGTTCTTTGCTTATAATATCATCTTTCCTTGACATTTCCTCCTTCCCTGCATTTGCATTCTCATCATCCTTATCTCTATTATAATGTTTTGACATTTGATTAACCTGTTCTTGAGATTTGGAAGCAACCTCCTCACACCCCTGGCTTTGTTGTTGACAAACACATGGAGTGACAAATACTAATAAATCTTCACACACACGAACTGGGAAAAACTTACCATTGCATTCAACCTTGATCACTATGTTTATGAACTCAAATCTATTCGTAATAATTCTTACCTTACTATACTAGAAGGAGTTGTGATTAAGAATGTTGTCATCCAACTGAATAACTTCCCTCCATAGTTTAACAATATATGTGAAAGTGTGGACACTCCACGAGTTAACTGGAACACCCACACAAATAATCCACACACACCTTTCATGAGCAATATACAGCCTTTTTTCCCAATCACTTATGGATTCACACCAATCAAAAATCCATTCTTCAACAGATAGTCTTGCTTCCTTCATATGTTGCACTGATTTAAATGTTAGTAATGCTAACCTTCCACCTCCATCTCTCACTCTTATCTCCTTCATTTCTCTTTTTTCAAACTCCTATTTAAAATCATTGAATGAAAAAAAGTTCTTCAACTTCACAATCAGACTTTCGTATAGCTAACCATTTCCAGACTCATAAGCCTTAACAACTAATTCCATCTTCTCCTGAAGGACTCCATTTTGAACAGCTTCAGCATAAGATCTACCTACAGGCTTCAGTTGATGCTGTGCTGAGTTCCTTTATTGGTACTATTTCATCATCTCACCTCATCTGCTTCTTATTGTGTGTTGTTTTTGCACTCCCGTGTCATACTTTGTTTCCTGCATTGCGAAAATTCTCTGGTGGTACTACCCCATCTTCTGGCCTAAGTTCCTTCATGTGGGTTCTTTTTGATCCCCTTTTTTGTATTCAACATTCTTCACCTTCAGAGCTTTATTGTCACACCATATCCCATCAGCCTTTTACACCGCCATGTCTGCTGCAACCTCACAGTCATACCTTACAAATCCAAATTGGAAACCCGATACTTGTCTTCTTTTTGCTAGAATGAAGGCATCCTTAACTATTCCAAACTTACTGAATAAAGTGAATAACCTTTTTGGATCCATAGAGCTAGGTATCTCATCTACAAAGATGGTAAACAACCCATCTACATCCTTAGATTGGTTACTTTGAATGCCCACTCTTCCTGCTCGTCTTCTTCTGAACACTAGGTTCCACTATCCTCTCTTCATTCTCGTTTTATCTCCACCCCTATTTTTTCTTTTCAAGAAATTCAAGATTTACTCTTATTATTGCAAGTTACAATGCAACTTTATAGTTTTCTTACTAAATCTTTCTCTATTGTCTCTCTCGTGAAGAAACCAGCGTTGTTCATCTATTGTTAGGTCTTTTACCGTCAATCATGGTAGTCTAACATCACTCTTACCATTTGGTTCTCTCTCTCTCTCTCTCTATCTATCTATCTCTCTCTTGTTGTTCAACATCTCAGCCGACGACAACCACTTCCACCGACATAGATTTACCCTCGACAACCTCAAATCTAACATTGATGATATCAGATCTATCACTAGAGAATTCAAATCTAAGATTTACAACCTCAAATATTAGACCAACAACATCACATATGTCATGATCTTTGAACGATTGGAGGTTCATTTAAATCCTTTTTATTTTTTGTTAGGATTGGTTTGAATATTCAGGTTAGGATCACATACCAAAAAAAATAAAATAAAAATATTGTTTCATTATGAATAGCAAACAAATTGTTTTTACTATCAATATAGAGTAAATACTATAATTTAAAATTACAACATTATCACCTTTTTAAATCGTGTTCACATACAAACCATACCACTCCCAAAATCAAATATGACTTTTATTTGGTTGTAATGGAAGCGTCAAGATATTATAAAATAAAGGATAAATGTGAACAAACAAAAATAAGTGATGGAGATTTTAGGATAAACTACTAAGGAAAGTGCTATGAACCCCAAATGAATTACCAATTTTTCTACCAAACATCTCACATGGGTGTGGGATCCACACATATGTGATTTGTGTGGATCCCACACCCATGTGAGAGGTTTGGTAGAAAATTTGGTAATTCTTTTGGGGCCCCTAGCATAACACAACTACTAATAGGTCCTAATAGTTAGACTTAATTCTCAGTCTTACTGAAAATAAGTCCTAGTAAATTTGCTGTTAAAACTTACAATTAGTGACCTTTTTTTGTGACAAATTTTTCAAACTGTTGCTGAAAGTTGAAAATTAGTGACCTTTTTTCAAAGTGTCGCTAAAACTTATAATTAGTGACATTTTTTGTGAAAATTTTTTCAAACTGTCGTTAAAAATTAACAATTAGTGATATTTTTTAATAGTGTTTTATGAAAGCGCCATTAATTATCATATGACCTATTAGACAATGGTGGTGTTTGGTGTAGCTGTTAAAACAGATTATAGATTATAGCTTAACAGATTATAGATTATGACTTTAATCAGAAGCGGTTAATCTGTTTGGTATAGCTGTTGGATTATAGATTTAAGTTGCTGAGTAGTGTTTGTTAAATAAGCTGTGAAGTAGCTTTTTCAATTAATTTTTATTTTTTATTATTCACTATTTGTCTACATTTTTCATAAAAAATAATAATAATATTTAATAGTCCATTTGAGTCTTTTTCTATTTTTAAAAAAATAAAAAATAAAAAAATCTAAGAGTATAACCGTGAATTAACATGTCCACAGCAGAAGCTGATAATGAGAAGCAAGGGGTGAGCAGCTTCTCAGAATCAGCTTTTTTGACTTAAAATAAGTTATTAGAATCAGAAGCTGTTTGAAATAAGTTTAACCAAACAGTCCAAAATAACTTTTTAAAAGCCAGAAGCCATAAGTTGGCTTAAAAAAGCTGCACCAAACACCCCCAATAAGTCCACATTATTAGAACCTACACGTAAATGCTCGAGAATCTATTGGGATAAAAATGAATAAGCTAGGGCATTAGTGCATATAATTCACCTTCTTTCCCAATTTCAACATTTTTTTTCATATATTCATCTCTATTATTTTCTCTTTTTTCGCTTTTTTTTTTTTTTTTTTTTTTTTTTTTTTTTTTTTTTTTTTTTTTTTTTTTTTTTTTGAGGAAACAAACTTATTTTCCCTTTTTCTTAACATAATAATCCCAACAAATCTTGAACAATACTCACATTTGTGCTGCTTGCAAATAGTTAATGATAGCATAGAAAACGAAAACGAAAATGAAAAAAATAAACTACTCTTTCAAATCTAGTAAACGAAAATAATGTACACATTCAACAATCAATAATATC